GTAGAGTGCTTGCCTCGCATGCATAAGGCCCTGGGTTCAATCCCAGCACCACTAAAAAAAAAAAAAAAAAAAAAAAAAAAGATTAACTAAAATATGGGGATATGGGACTGGGGTTGTAGCTCAGTGGTAGAGTATTTGCCTAGCATAGGTGAGGCACTGGGTTCCATCCTCAGCACCACATAGAAAAATAAACAAATACATACATAAAATAAAAGCTAAATTCTTTAAAAAAGAAATATGGGGATGTGGCTCAGTGGTAAGGAGCCTCTGGGTTCAATCTCCAGTAGTGCAAACCAAACAAAAATCAATGTGCTGCTGCTTTAACCTCCTTCACTCATGTTATTAGTCCTAGTACAAATATTTCTAGTATCTTTTAAAATATCCTAGCCTATTATTAATTTTATGCTCATCATCATAGCCCTCCTATGAGCAAGGACAGTATGTAGGGGAAACTTAAGGCACAGAGGTGTTAAGCCCTTTCTAAAACTCACAGCTATTTGGTGCAAAAGTCAGAATTAGGATTCAGGTATTTGGTTTCCAGCCACATTTCTTCTCTAGCATTTTCTTTCAAAGTTAAAATAATGACCTTACTTAGTAGTTTTCTTGTAACACCTTTCTCTCTGTATGGTTGTTTCTTTTTTCAATTATACACACCAGCCGTGGTGCATGCCAAATAATATAAAAAAAGGGCTGGGTATGTGGCTCAGTGGTTAAGTGTCCCTGTTCAATCCCTAGCACCAGAAATAAATAAATAAACCAAAAAACAATCAATCAACCAATCAATTAAAGGCACTTTCTTTTGACATACTGGGGATCAAACCTAGCACCTTACACATGCTGGGCAAGAACTCTACCATTGAGCTATACCCTCAGGCCCTTTTAAAATTTTATTTTGAGACAGGGTCTCATTAAATTGAAGAGGTGGCCTCAAACTCTGGATCCTCCTGCCTGAGCCTCCTGGTTTGCTGGGATTACAGGCAAGCATCACCAAGCCAGGTGCATTGTTTATTTTTTACAGTATCCCACACAGTTCCTTGGACATAGTAACTACTCAATAAATATTTTTAAAAGTTATGAATCTGGGAATTTCTTTTATAGGATGGCTGAGGTAGGATGGTGAAACATTACATATAATTAGTTCAATTCTTCCCCTTTCATCCCTGTTTAATACTGGTTAGAAAGCTTGCATCTAACTTATGCTCTCATCACTGAGTCATTAGTATAAAATGTGGGACTGTTTCCTTATCAGAATGATGAAGGTGTAGTTTTTTTTTTTTTAAATAAAGATATACTTGACAAATATAGTGTATATTTTTACAGTGTGTGCCAGGTGATGTTTTGATATACATTGTGAAATGGCTAAATCTAAATAAATAAATATATATATTTTTTTGCATACTGGGGATTGAACCCAGGGGTCCTCTGTTACAGAGCTGGGGCCTTCCAAGAAACTGAGGCAGCTCCAAGTCTCCACTCTTCAAAGCCAATTCTTGCAATCAAGTCAGAAAGATTTAAAACACGTTGCTCAGAGTAACAAGAACAAGTTTATTGAAGGGCTAGGAGAGGGACAACATGCTTCTCTTGCACTCCAGTTTGAGAGGGGATCCCAGAGAAGTTTCCAGAGTCCCACCCAGGTCCACCTCTTGACTTCTGCCTGGCAGCAGGGTGACATCAGACTTTCAAGTCCCCACTGTAATGGCAACTCTAGGTCACCTTGGCCCATGCTGAATGGTTCTAATCTGATTTGTAACCACACATTCTTACAAATTTTACAGTTAAGAGGAACTGCCCTTATCTCTCAGAGTTTCAGGATCTGGTCACAAAAGTCTCCTGGGTTCCTCCCACCAACTTTATCTCGAGCCTGCATTTCTCCTTCAGTTAATAGGTAGTTTGCTGAGGAATGTGACATATCCTGTCCATTTAGGCCACATAAGGCTGCAGGTAAATTGCTTCTTAGAAAAGAAAGAATGTGGGGATCAGTACAGTAGGCCCATTTTATAGAATTATTCTCTTTACTTCTTGTTCCCACCATCCTCATCTGTTCCCTAATAGTTTTACCCCTGAGGTATATCCCTAGCCTTTTTTTTTTTTTTTGCTGTACTGGGTCTGAACCCAGGGCCACCCAAATGCCAGGCAAATGTTTAACCATTGAGCCACATCACCAGCCCCAAACCCCAGTCCTTTTAAATTTTTATTTTGAAACAGGGTCTCCCTAAGTTGCTGAGGCTGGCCCCAAACTTGTGATCCTCCTCCCTCAGTCTTCAGAGTAACTGGGATCACAGGCCAGTGCTATCATGACTGTCTCTTGTAACCGGATTGAACTCAGGGACACTCAACTACTGAACCACATCCCCAGCCCTATTTTGTATTTTTTATTTAGAGACAAGGTCTCACTGAGTTTCTTAGTGCCTTGCTGTTGCTGTGGCTGGCTGTGAACTTGTGATCCTCCTGCCTCAGCCTCCTGAGCCAGTGGGATTACAGGCATGTGCCATGACACCAGGCTCAGATATATTTTTTAAAATATTTTTTTAGTTGCATCTCTGTTTATTCTATTGGTTCTCTGGAGAACACTGACTAATGCAGTATTTCTTGCGCTTCACTTTGTATCAACCAGAGTACTGAGCTCTTTAGCAAGGTATGCTTTTATCACCCATGGAACTGGTGGCAATATTATGTTCATTTCACATGGAAACAGAGGCTGAGAAAGACTTTGCCCAAGATTTTGTAGCTAAGGAGTGAGTGCTGGAGACAGTCAGAATCTAGTCTGTCAGACTCCAGAGCTATCACTTATCACATAGCATTCTGCCCCAGACCTTACGACTGACACACATCAGTTTCCCAGATGGCTGAAACCCTCCCTCTTCTAAAAATTTTTTTTTTTTTTTTAAGAGAGAGTGAGAGAGGAGAGAGAGAGTGAGAGAGAATTTTCTTTAATATTTATTTTTTAATTCTCGGTGGACACAACATCTTTGTTGGTATGTGGTGCTGAGGATCGAACCCGGGCCACACGCATGCCAGGCGAGCGCGCTACCGCTTGAGCCACATCCCCAGCCCTTTTCTAAAAATTAAGGTAAATAATTTCATGTAGTCAGGTCTAATAGAGACAATGATCTCCACCAAAAAAAAAAAAAAAAAAAAAAAAATTCAGCCCAAGGAAATTTCCTTTTGCAGACAGTATTTGTTCTAGCTCTGGGGCTGTATCTTTATGCTGCCTACTTTAGGTTGCAATATGTTTCCACACCCACCTTATAAGTTTTTAAAATGGAATTTTAATTTTTTCCTTCAGTTTGTATGCTGAGCCACCTGTATACTTCCTCTACACTTTCCCAAAGTGGAGAAAAGGAGGGGTGGGGAAGAGGGTTATTCTAAGATTATGTTAATAGAGAGATTATTGGGATAATACATCTCAATGAGCACTTTATTGAACAAGCTTGCTTTCTAATTGGTTACAACTCCCATTGAAACACTATCCCAGAGAGAAGGAAGGTCTTGGTTCTTCATTTTTCCTTACATCCTCTATTCAGGAATGAAATTATCAAATGAGAATTAAGTGGACCAATCTAAGAATATTAGACAGGGATTGCAATGATTAGGTAATTCCCCTCTTTTCAGAGAGACAACTGAGGTCCTCAGAGGATACACTGTGTGTGTTCCTATCTGAACTGTCTTATCCTAGACCCTAATGTGGTCATCAGCTAAATACAGTAACCTATGGGAATTTCTGGACAGGGTGTAAACGTGAGGAAGAAGGCCTAGTGTTTAAGTGGCAAGATCTGGAGATTACTTGGCTTCCAATCCCCTGCTATTTAGCTCTTGGTCAAGTTAGTTAATTTTTCTGTAACTCAATTTCTTTGTTAGATCAAAAGTGTCTATGGGACTAAATGATTATCTTACCTTTAAAATATCTAAAGCAGTGTTTACAGCATTGAAGTATGAGGTTAAACGCTAACTAAATGTGTTATTTTTACCTCCAAATTCAAATCCCTTAATTTTGAGCTTTCCTGATAGTCTCCTATAGCACTTCTTTATCCTCTTTTGAGTTTTTCTAGTAACTGATGCTGGCATTTTCAAGGAGCTCAAATGGTTTACTTTTATTAAGTTTTGGTCAAATAGAGCAAATATACTCATATGACATACAAACGCCCTAGGTTGATGGTGGACACGGTTCCAGAGTCTGGGGAGAACCCGCATGGGTGCAGAGATGCTCGGAAACCACCTTTCTTTCTGAGGGGGCGGGACCTTTAACGCGCAGCTGGCGACCGAGGACTTTTAACACAGAAGAGGTGAGACCTGTTACCAGTCGCAGGCGGTCCGGGCTGGGGGAAGGCCCAGGTGGGGCTGCAGGTGGCCAGAGGGGTGGACCACAGCCACTGATCTCCAGTCCGGGCTTTTACACAACAGTCTGGGCACAAAGGGACTTCTTAGCTACGCCACTTTTTGGTTTGTCGCCCTCCTGCTCCTGGCTCCAGCTTTGTCCCCAACTTGCCCGTGGGTTGGCTGAGCTGCTTCGACACGTGCCCCCCTTTGTCTAGCCGCTACTCCGCGCCCTTTGTAGTCCAGAGGCCTCATAGAGAAGGGTGGGGGCGCCGCCGACCCCCGGGGCGGAGAGTTAAGGAGGCGAGGGGGGAAGGCGCCGCCGCTCGCCCGCGCAGTCCTCGCGCGACGCCCGGGGCCGCGCCTCAGCCCCTCGCCCGGGTCCTCGGCACGGGGAGGGGCGCGGCGCGGCCGGCGCCCTCTGATTGGCTGCGGGCGTCGGGGCGCCGCGACGCGATTGGGCCGCGGGGCTGTCTGGCGCGAGAGCGCGTGAGGTGGGGAGGGGGCGCTGGAAGCTGCTGGAAGTCGGGGGGCGGGGGATGCGGCGGGCGGCGGCGGGAGGGGCCGCGCCGGTGCGGGCGGGCGGGCGCGGGCGGCGGGCGCAGGGGAGGGGCGAGCCGGGCGCCGCCCCCGGCCCCTCCCCGGCCCTCCCCACGCCGCTCTCCGACCGCGGGCGGCCCAGGGGCGGTCGCGCCGCTGCATCCCCATCCTCGTCGCCCGGCACAGCGCGAGCCGGCGAACGGCAGCGGGCCGGAGCGGGCGCAGCGCCGAGCCCCGGCCATGGCCACCACCAGCACCACGGGCTCCACCCTGCTGCAGCCCCTAAGCAACGCCGTGCAGCTGCCCATCGACCAGGTACCCGGCGTGCCCGGGGCGTCGCGCCGGGGCCGCCCCGAGTCCCCCGCCGGGCGGGAGGGGTGGGGGTGGGGGTCACGCCGCCCGCCGCCCGGCGGGGAGGGGGCGCCCAGCCTGGCATGGTCGCCTCGCCCGCGGGCGCCGGCCGCCTCCCTCGGGCCGCGGCGCGCCCACCCAGCCCCCCATCGCGGCCCCGGGCGGGGGTGGGCGCGCGGCGTCGCGGGCGACAGCCAGCCGGGAGGGCTCCGCGACCGACGTGCGCGCGGGCATGCCGTCCCTCCCGGCCCCGCGCCCCCGGCCCCGCAGGCTGCGCTCGGGCTTCGGCGGTCGGCGCCCGGGCTCGGCTCGCGCCCCGGGGTGGCTGAAGGGACACCGGAGGCAACAGTTTGGGGGGGGGGCAGAGGTTATGGAGAAAAGTCACAGCGAGTTCAGTAGCCGGGCTCCGCAGCCGAGAAAGTTGCAACCTTGTAGACGGGAGCGGCCACCCCGTCCCCTCAACGACCTGGATCGGCAGCCGACACCGGCCGGGGCGACGGCGTTTAATCGAGGCCACCGAGTCCGACTGTGGGAAGGGCCTCGGATTCCCGAGAAGTGAACAGGATGGTGAGGGGGAAAGCAGCGCCATTTTTATTCAGAAAGTTTGGAAGTATTCTGCCCTGAGGGTGCGATTCGGGCAGGCGTGGGCAGGGTCTGGTGAATTGTCTGGCCCCAGGCGGAAGGTGGTGGCTTTGGGGATTCTGCCTGCCCTCCTTCCGAGCGTTCCTGATCTGAAGGGTTGGCCCTTCACTGGGCATTCTGGCTCACTGTCCTCAGCCCCACTGGGGATCTGGTCCAGACCCCACCTCAGCGAGGTGGAGAGGACTTCTCTGGGCTTTACTGTTTAAATGAAAGTCTGAAGTATGCGGAAGGAGTATTCAAAAGAAATTCTGCCCTCTGTTTACGTCCAGTTGCTGGCTTGTATGTCAGCGTACCTTCCGGTGGATTGTGAAGTACCTGTCCCCCACGTACCTTGAACCGCACTTACGGTGTCCATCCCATGTAGAGGGCCACTAATGAAATTGTGGGTTTTGCAGAGAGAGTCTTCTCTGTTTATTAATAAGTTAATCAGGACTTCAGGTTTTGGGTCTTCTCATCCCTGTGGAGGACTCTGTTTTCCAAACTGGAGTGTGATGCTTGGTCTGTGAGAGTACTGTTGCTGACTTAACCAGGTTGCTGCCAGTGTTTGTGGGCCAGGGTCTGATGAAAAATTTTCTTGCTGATGAGAAGCCAGGGAGAAATGAAGCAAGGCTTGTCATACCTTTTCATTTCTTTTAGGAGATAGGTATATCTCGTCCCTCTCCCTTTCCCTCCCTGCAGTAGTCTTCTTGACTGTGGTGAAATGTTCTTTACTATGCTAATGCCTTTAGAGGTACATGGTACTTGTAACTTTTTAAATGATATAATATTAAAGAACTTATTTAAACATTGCACTAAAGCAGGAGAATGGCAGGGCTTAAATTTCTTTTTGAGTGTGCTGCTTGACTAGTTAAAGGTCTTGATTTTGTGTCTTCAACAACTTTCATTTTAATGGAACTATTCTAAATTTGTGTAGTCATGTATAGCCCTGAGTTTGGGTGTCTATTTGTGTAGTATTTTGAGTTATTTTCTCTGCTCTAAGCAGGTCTTAAGGATATTGAGTTAATACCACACAACTTTTTATAGTGAGAATAAATTCTTTCTTTGAAGCATCAAATAATTGACCTTTTTATTGATGAAGCTCTTGCAATAACTGAAAATTCATGTTGTAAAATTAGATGAATAGTAGTCCTTTAGCCATTATTTTAAATTAGGGCGAACCAAAATTTTTATAAAGCAAATAATTGAGAGAAAACCTCAGAATTGGTTGTGATCAAATAGTGTGACTCAACAGGAAGCAGTCAGGAAATRAAAAGTGTAATAGTATATAACTTGTCAGCATGTTAATTTTGTATGTGCTAATAGTGTTTTGAAAATTCAGGAAATCATTAAAGCACGTACTTGATGTCAGGAAGAAAGGGACTGTAGGGTAATAAGACAGTTAACTTTTTCACTAGAGTGGGGAATTGATGCGATGACAGCAGTCATTGGTGTTTGTGGAGCATAGGAATGCACCTTTCAGGACTAAGCAGCAGAGAAAGGAAAGAGTGCAGTGAGAGCCAGGCCAGGGAGGGAGAGGCAGCAAGAGATCTTGCTTTGGACCCCTGGATTGTTTAGTCTTCACTGAGAATTCCAGAGTGACCTTGAGGGAGCCCTAGTATTTTTCAGTAAGCCTTAAATTTAAATAAAAATATAAAATCTAGTATCAGATTGAGGTTTTGTGGTTCTTAAAGATAGCCAGGCAACTTTGTAGAATAAWACTTTGTAGGTGGATATGATTGAGGGAATATTTTGAGAGTGGGTTGGATTTGGACTGAGGGAGAGCTGTGCCAGAGAAAAAGAGCAGATGTGCCACCTAGCAGATGTCAGATACCTCTGGATGGAATTGTGTCCTTAGTATGTTGCTGATCCACAGTGCCTTTTTAAGACACCAAAGTGAATAGTAAAATCAAAAGTCCAAGTCAACATATTTTTTAGACTGTTCTCTTTCAACATATTGTGTCCTCTGTTGTGGTTTGCCTAGTACTCTTGAGTGACCAGATGAGGTTGCTGGCCTTTCCCTCTTCATCCTTCCCTAGCCTGCCTGCCTGCCTGCCTTCCACCTATCCATCCATTCATCCACTTTTCTTTCCTTATTTCCCATGATGCTGTAATTACCACTATAGATGGAGTGAATTTCCCTAGTGATGTGATGTCCAGGATGGTGTGCTTGGCATAAGGCCAGTTAAGGATGAGTCATTGGACGTAGAGACCTGTTTTTGGGACAGGTGTTACTGTTTTAGAGTTAATGTGCTGAACTCTTGGGGCAGGGAGAGGGGCAAGAGATACTTTGAAAGGTTTGGAGGAGAGAGAAGATGGATGAGGGCAGAAGAAAGAACCCAGTTAGGAATCCTGCAAATTTAGTAATTATAATGCCTAACACTTGACAGTTTTCAGAGCTCTTTAACTACATTACATCCTCACACCACCTTGGGAAGTAAGAGTCAAAGCCCCAAATATTTAGCTTCAGGTATGCCTGCGTGACATGCTATTAAGCCCTTGTATAAAAGGTCAGTTTCAGTATAGTTTTAATATATGGCAAATACTTTTTTATACCTTCATTTTAGATCTGGGCCACCAGGTATCTTTTGGAGGGGAAGATGAGAGCATGAACTTTTCACACCCCCACCCCCATACTCATGCACTGGCCCTTATGGTTTGGATAGGGAATGTGTATGTAAGAGAAAGCAGTGTGGAAGCCTATGAAATCCTTGTTCCTTTGTGGTCAGTTTGCTGATTGCCCTTTCCTGTAAGCCCCCACCCTCCCTCCCTGTGCCGCAATTACAATGAAATGAAGCGAYGGATCAGGGAAGAGTAGTTTAAAACTTCAGCTTTTTAAATTCCCCCAATTCCCTTATAGGTCTGAACTGTGATGAATCCCGTTTTATAGACGAAGAAATAAGTAAAATTCTCAGTGTAGATTCTTTAAAGAGATGGCTTTTAGGAGGAAAGGGACATGCCATGAAGCAGGCAAACCAAGGATTTGTTTTCTTTGAATGTTGCCAGTTGACTGCTTTAAGTTTGGTTCTAGGTTTCGGTTGTAATATTTAACTCATCTGCCTCTCCTGCTTTTACCATTATAATGAGAATCAGTTTCCATCACAGAAACCCTGAGATGCTGCAGTCTGTTGTGGAAGATTCCTTTCAGTTAGAAAGGCATATGGGATTGAGAATTGCCTTGTCAGTTAACAATTTTAGAAACACCACTCTACATAAATGTTTCTTCCTGTATATGACATGTATTGGGTTTATTTTAAAAATTAACTGATAAAGATGCCCCATGTTAGAGGGAATATAAACAAATGGGAGGAGAGTGGACTAATGCTCTTGAAGCAGTTTTCAGCAATAAAGAGCTGAAACTGACTCTGTAACCAAAGCAGTCCACCTCAGTCCACCTGCTAGGCAGTGGTGCTGCTGTATGTGTCCCTGCATTCCTCTTCCTCATCAACAGGAAGCACTGGTGTGGTGGTGTGGTGGAGAGGTGGGTTTGGAGCCACACTCTGCAAACCTTGTGCCATTAAGCAGATGATTGTTTTTTTTTTTAAGCCCCAGTTTCCTCACCTGAAAATAAGGATAATAATAAGTATTAGATTCTTGCAGGTTTYTGTGAAGGTTAAAACAAAAATCTATGTGAAATACTTGGCTCCTAGTAGATGTTGCACAGTTCCTCCTCCTTTACAAATTATAAAATATTTAGAATTTACTTTATAGGGCTGGGGATGTGGCTCAAGTGGTAGCRTGCTCGCCTGGCATGTGTGCAGCCCAGGTTCGATCCTCAGCACCACATTACAAACAAAGAYGTTGTGTCCGCCGAGAACTAAAAAATAAATATTAAAATTCTAAAAAAAAAAAAAAAAGAATTTACTTTATATTTTTATTTTGAGAAATTARTACTTGTTCGTATATTGCATTTTTAATCCTTAGGACCTCATTTTTAGGAAGGGAAGTRTAAGATTCAGGTTCAGTTACATGCCCACACAGTGATTAAAGTAGGATTAAAATTTAGTTTTGAATTTGGTGATAAAAACAGTTTTCTATTTCCTTACTGCTTAGCAAATTCTTTGTTTCCAGCTTGAAACTGCTGTGTTGGGTGTTATTGCCCCTAGTAAGTACAAAAAGCCCTGGTCTCTGTTTATTGGGTCTGTTCAGGCTGACTTTCCAGGGAAATACTCAAAACAGCTTGCACATAGCTTTGGTCTGCAGTCAGGTTTACAGGTGGGCTTCTACCAGGRTACAATGTGAGATTTCTTTAAAATAAAACAAGCCATAGAAATGACTCTCAGCAGAGCGGTCAGTTAATGACTTCATGACTAACATGGGTGCAGATGGAAGTCCTGCTTTAGCCA